ACACACACACACACTCACACAATAAGCCAGTAATCGTTCATTGCTGCTGTCCTTCAGGCATTTGTGCTCCTTACCCTCCCTTCACGTCCGTCTCTTTGACTCCTCCATCTTCCTACCTCTCCTGCGTCCTCCCCCTTTTCTCTCCTCCATCCTTTCATCTTGCGTCCCTTCCACTGAAGCCCCCCTCCCTCTCTGAACTCAACCTGATATTCTCGGCGCACTCTGTTTCACCCTCAGGCCGCTGGCCTCTCGCCTAGATTGCTATGCAGAATGATTTTTCCCCCTCTTGACTATTTGAATGAGGAAAGATGAAAAATGGCTTCTTACCTAATCCTCACTATGTCCCACGCAGAGTTCCTTACTTCAAAATGCTCGATGTACTCACGACTCTGCAAAGTCTGCTGCTCAAAACCGGATTGGATGCAAAACGGCCTTTCTAAAGAACTTATCTGGGGTTGTTTTGATTCCTTGTGCACATGACTGAACCTATTCATGTCAAATATAAAAACGCTTAGTGTTTTAACTACAGATGGCATTGATATTGCACACATTTTATATCCATTTAGACGTGTTTTTGGAGTTTGAACACATTCTCTGCCTGTGTGTTAAAGTGTAGCTGTAGCGCAGTAATCCTTGTTACAACCTGTTTGTGTTGGAGAGGTTGCGTCAGTGTGTCGAGTTGTATTTCACTGTGCTTTTCATGTGACCCAAACAGGTGACCTGGGGCTGTTTTGTGAGTGTCCAGTCAATTAGGAGTGGTGGTCCAGTGGAGTGGGGTCTACGGTAACACAGACAAAGTGAGGGGTGAACAGGCTCAGAGTGAGGGGGGTGAAGAGGTCAAGTAGGGAGAAGAGTCCACCCCGCCAGAGTAACAGAGATGATAAAGAGCCGTATATACCGACAGAAGAACATGCAGGGATGTATAAAGGGAAGAGATAAGATAAGGGATGGAACATGGGTGAGGAAAGGGGGGAGGCTGCCGATGAATCAGTTCTTGTCGAGTGAAGGAGTTTGAGCAACGACTGAACGCTGTCACCTTGTTAACACTTGTAGCCGTATTGGTTAATGGTCTTCAAAAATGACCCATTGATTTTGGCTACATACGAACTGCGAGTTTGTATTGCGCTAATGGGAAGCTACGGTAGATTAAGCTTTAGTGTGTCCGCTGCTCTCCCATGTGTAGCTCTCTTTATGTCCGCCATTATGGAGTGTAGTGTGGTGAATTTCAGCTGAATCGGTGAGCGAGTTTGGATTCAACTTAGGGGGGAGGATGTCTGAATGAGTGCGAGACGTTCTCTAATGACATAGTTCAGATGGGTGCACGTCTGGTTTTCGCAGATTCACTCCACAAATCAATAGGAGACCCAGCGAGTTCATCCCGCTCTCTTCTTCTTCTCCTCCTTCTGTCAGCTCCCAGCGAGTCGGTTCCGGTTCGCGTCGTGGCATCGCCTGGAGCAGTGTGATGTCACAGGGGACCAGCTGACCTGCCCCAGGGTCAGAGAAGGTCTGGATCACTTGGAGGAAATCACCGCTGTGACCTTTGCACGCTCATTTGCCACAGTGGGAGTGGAAGTTTGCTGCAGTAATAAAAGAACTTCCTGTGATGGAATAGTAGCGAGTACAGGTTTTTTTTGACAATGTATTTTTTGTAGGAGTAAAAAGAAACCTTTTATTTAAAGGTGACCTGCATTACTAAAGCTGAATTTCTAATGAATTCATTTAAGCATTCAAAAAGAAAGAAGTAGTTCAACCTGTAGCTTCATTTCTGTGCTGCTTTCATTTCCTGCAAGTTTCATTTAACGCCGCAGATGAAGGCATAAATACTGTGACTAAGAATCCAAAGTGCCAGGACTATGAATTACAAAGAGGCTCTTTTGTTTTGACAATGTCATCAAAAAGGGCCATCAGAAGAGGAGCTGTTTCAAAGAGAGGAGGATGACATCTGTTTGGAGAGAGGAAGGAGAAGGAGGAGAGAGGGGGGAGGACAGAGATGGGAGGAGAGACTGCAAGAGAACTGGGAAAACTGTCTGGTAAGTCAGCAAGTGTATGTGTGTTTGTATAATGTTAAGGACTTACAGTAGAGGAGAAGAATAGAGACAGGTTGAGGGAGGGAGGGAGGGAGGAAGACCCTGATGGTCGTCTCACCTGTCTCTTGTCAGGAGTTAAATCTGTCCTACCAGGACCTGGGCGATCCCTTCCAGCAGGAGAACTTCCTACGGATCCTCCGCCGCTTGATCCGTGTGGAGAAACTGCAACTGGTGGACAACTCCCTCACCAACCTGAGTTCTGTACGCCTGCCAAGGTATGAACCACACTACCCACACTGCACCACAACTCCCTCCCCTGTAGATCTTAACGGCCCGTAACTCTACTCTAATCTTCTCCCACAACGTGGACACATGAATATCAAACGCTGAATCACTAATAAATCTGTTCAGAAGTAACGTCTGGTGAAGGATTTCTGTCATTCCTTTTGGAGTTGATGTTGGCGGTAGCTCTGTTGAAGGTGTTCAGCAGTGTGTGTGAGGCTCCAAACACCAGCTCAGTATCAGCTAAGGATCATTTGTGTGTTAACGTGTATTTTCCTCGTGTGCTGTTCATGTTATTTCGTCCACCTTTGCACCGTCTCCCATTTCAGAGAGTAGCTGTCTTTTTGTCTTCCTCTTATCCCTGTTTTATGTTCATCTGGGTGACAATAAGCACGAAACAGAAAGCTAAGGCTGGTGTGCTTCCGTTGGGCAGGTGCACAATGCTAAACCTGCAGCGTAACCACCTGGTGTGTCTGCGTCAGCTGCCAAAGCTCCCAGCGGTGGAGCACCTTTGTCTCTCTGAGAACGCCATCAGCTCCCTGGGGGGACTGGGAGCTCTGGGGACCAGCCCGCTCCGCTCCCTCAACCTGACCCACAACCCAGTGACCTTCACTCAGGGCTACCGTACACGGTGAGGAGACACATACGGATAGAGGACAGAGCCGTGGAGAGAGAGACAGTAAAAGGAGAAAAGATAGTGATTGTAAAAGTCCTTTTCTGTCATCTCCTCTCTTTCCCTCTCTGCTTTCTCTGTCTCTGTGCAGTGTTTTCCTCTGTTTGCCAAAGCTAGAGATCCTGGATGGAATACCCAAGCTGCCTGAAGACTCTCTGCCTACCAGACTACAGTTCCCAGAAACCACCAGGATGTGCAACATTTTATGACATTCTTGCATGGATGGCTGCGTGCGGAGTCAGTCCTCCCGATCCTACAACACTTGAAGCGATGACGAGGCTTCAGCAAAGTGCTCTTCAGCAGACGTTGAAGTTGCACTGAAGGTTGCATCGAGCTGTTGAGTTATTCACACAAATTGCCGAAAAACACTTGTTAGACCGCGCTGACAATGCAGTCAGATGTGGTAATGTGCTTCAGGGCCATGCGAGATGCTTTTTATATGTAGTACCAGTTACACCTATTATTATTGTCATTGATATATTTGTAAGTGAGATGTTTTATATGTCCTATACACGCATTTTGATAATAAATAGAAAATAGCTTAAAGACTGTTTTTTGGCCTCCATTTGTATCCAGTCCAAAACTGAACGTGGTTCAGCACAAAGCTATGGATTGAATGGTTTTGACGAGCCTCGGCTTTGATGGAGGGAAAGAGGGAGAGGGCTAATCAGATTGCTACATGACTCATCTCTGCCAGCTCCACATCTCTCAGGACTCTGCTGAGCCGACACACTCACGCTCCTCTGTCTGCTACAGGCCGCACTGAACACACACAGGAGATACATCTGCAGAAAGGCAGTCTCACTAACTACGATCTACAGTTTGTATGTATTCCTGAGGTGTTATGTGTGTCTTTACTGCACATCTGTAATATCTGAGAAGAGAAACAGGACATCCGCTTTGGAGGCTTATCAAACATTTAGTGTCCAGACTCCCCGGGATAATGGCCTCATGTGTCCTCTGACTGACTGGGTAATGACCCATGAGCCTCATGCAGCAGGTCACACACACACACAAAACATGTACACAAAGCCTAATCCTTGGTAGCTTGCAAAGCACTCACATGGGGATCGTTCGATTCCAACCGAAAGTGTTTCGGATAAAAGAATAAAGCAAATGGCATCCACGCTGTGGTACGTATCGTAGTGTTGCAGGGGTTACACACGTTGGCCCCGGAGCTGATCGATTCATACATTGCAGCAGTGTATTCTTTTAATAGCGGTTTCACTTTCGGCCTGCACCTGAAACATAAACACACTTTGTTATCTAACACTGCAGAACACAAGTGCACGCACACAAGCATCTCAAGGATGAGCTAGGGCACACAGACGCCTTCTCTTCCCTCACAGTAATGCGGAGAAACACAATTCAAGCAGCCGATATCTCTCTAACAAGCATACAGCCGGGCACAAACTACCAGTTACATGCCTCATTGGGATTCGTTTAAGTGTGGAAGATTGTTTGTGCAATTGTGTGTGTGTGTGTGTGGAGATGGAGAT